TTGCACTGAAATGCACTGAATGGGATGTTCACTTGACTGAATGGTATGTTCACTTGAGTTTATAAACACCATTAGGAAAAGATGACTAGATTAGAGAGTTCGATTTGGTTTCTTTGTGGTGCAACAAAAATATTTAAAGATCTGAAATTATTTGAAATGAATTTGAAATACTTTTTTTGACACACTGGATATTTGACCATTATTCTATGAGTTATACTTCCAAATATAGATGTGCCAAGATGAGGAAGTAGATAATGCTAAAAAAATCAATTACAGTAATTATGATTAATAAAATTATTACATATTTGGTATGCCATATTTTCTCCTGCTTTATGTCATTCTGAACAATGTACAGCATTCCAGTAGAAACATTTTGGAAGTTGAACTCAAATGTCCAAGGAGGATGTTTGTTCCTCTGATTCCAAGTCATACATTTCCATCTTATTTGAAAATGAATGTTTGGATGACATTTCAGAGAGCAATGTGTCTTAGCTCCATGGTGTGCTTTTTTGTTTGTTTGTTTGGGGATGGGTGAATAAAAAGTTTGAATTATATTGGTTTGGTTTCTAACTAAACCACACCTTTATGCTATTTTACTGATTCTTATGTCTTTATGTTAATTTTACAGAGTCAACAGTAGCATACAATTCAAGATAACAGATTTTGATGGGATTTAACTGTGAGTTACTTAACTCTATGGCTCATAAGTTCTAAGTCATTTATCATCCATTCATCCTCTTCTTTTAACTTAATGTATTTTCTACGTATTTACATGTTTTTCTTCTCTTTCCAAATGTTTAATATTATTCTTCATGAAAATAAATAACTAAAATAAAAGGGCATTACTGTCCACAATATTTTTTTTAATATGGCAACAAAATGAGAATTTGTGTATCATCTTGATTGGTTTTCTCTATCTTCATTACTTTCTGATATATTACTAATTTAATCATATTTCTATTATTTCCCTCAGGAATTTCCAAATCATGATGGATAATCATACTTTCATTGGCAGTTTTAAGCTACTAGTTTTCCTCAACTACATCATCTTGAACATCTCATCGGATTCATTCTGCTAGCATCATATATGATTACTTTTGCTAGAAATATCATTATTATTATCCTGGTTATTCATGATCCTAACCTACATATTCCCATGTACTTTTTTTTTTAAATATNAAAAAATGGCTTTTTGCCTGGATGGCTCCCAGAGTGAGCCAATAGACAGAAAAGGAAAGCAATATGCTCCCTTCCATATTTGGGCATACCAGGGGTTGTGACACAATACATACATACATACATACATACATACATACATACATACATACATACATACATACATACATACATGTGTGTGTGGTGTGTGTGTTTGTTTGTTTTTAATAAACCTATGATGGCTACTAGATACAACTTTTTTTGTTTCTAGATGGTCACAGACTTATTTTTAAAAATATCTTTTCCAGTATCTTCCTTGATTGATCTGTAGTTTCCTGGGCCTGTTTTCTTTTTTCCTTTTTTGAAGATGGGAATCACATCAGCTCTCTTCCAATCCTGAGGTAATTTTCCATTGTTCCAGAATTTTTAATGGCTTTGTGATAACATCTGCCAGTTCCTTCAGAACTCTTGGATATAATCTATCAGGTTACCGTGATTTATATTCATCAAGATCAGACAAGTGTTCTCTAACCATTTTCTTGATTATTTTAATTTTTATTTCTAGTCTGTCTTTTACAGTTAGGTTTTTGGCAGTTTGGGCTATAGTTTCTTTTTGCATGAAAGAACAGTTAAGTACTTCTGCTTTCTCTCTGCTACCTATTATTTCCTTTCTCTTTCATTGGAAGTCTTTATTCATTATAATTTTTTACTTTCCTGACTTAATTTTTGCAGATTCTGGCTATCTGCTAATACTCTGCCTTAGTTATAAGTCCCTCTTTCCATTTTTAGTACTTGTCCCTTTTGTCTTTCAGTTTATCGGAGACATCTTTGTGCAATCATGCCGGTTTCTTCTTCAATCTTTGGGGTGTTTTTACCCAGTGGTACTGCAATTTTATGATCATATTTCTCAAAGTTTCTCATGCTTCTTGACTTGTTTTCCACTTTAGGATTTTCATCCATGGAATTTTTCTTAGGGTCTGTCTGAATTGTTAAAATCAGTTATTTTAAAGTTTAAAACACTGGCTGGATTATGTTATATTGCTTGTGTTTGCATTATATTGAATTCCAATAAGATGTTGTAGCCCAAAGTTCCAAGAACTTTAACTCCGTCTATTACTTCTTCTCTATTAGAAGAAGTAGTAAGAATTAATAAGAAGAATTAATTGTAAGAATTAAGTCTAGTATAGCTTTTCCTCTAGTTTCCTCCTCTACCTTTTGGATGACAAAGTTGTCAGCTAGGTTGATTAAGAATCTATTTGATTTCTGACTTGCTGCAGAGTTGTCTCCCTGTTGATATCAGGGTATTTAAAGTTTCCCATTACTACTATGGTATTTCCAATTCATGGTATGTTTCCAGAACAGTACAGCAAGACATATTAGTAAGTAAAATAATTTGGGAACATTTTTCTTTGAGTAAATTCTCTGATTCACGCTTCCTGAATTAATTTGGTAAATTCCTGCAAAGCTTAATTTAATTTAATTTAGTATAATGGATTTTATTTTTAAAGCTATATAAATTTGCTAGCTAGCTTGAAGATGATGGATGGATGGATGGATGGATGGATGGATGGATGGATGGATGGATGGATGGATAGGCAGGCAGGCAGGCAGATATAGATATGATCAAATAATGCATATTTTAAAAAATACAGTTGCTAAATGAGATTATTTATGTCTTAATTTACTCAAACACATAGAGACTTTCAATTTATAATGGTGCTGTTGATTAGCTAAAAACTTTACTATACATCAGGGAATAACTTCATACTTCTGGCTTAGAGACTCTTGGGATAGAAATTTGAAGCTTCAAAATTGAATGCAAAACAGCATGAAGCAGTTGGGAGGAAAAGAATGAAACAACAATGGTTCTTTTGCAGGTAACAAAGAGATCATTTTAGGGGTAGATAAGCATATTTCTATACCCACATTGAAAGCTTATATTGAAGGAATACTTTAGTTCACATAATAAAACTCCCTTCGATGTAATGTAAATAAACCAGGAATTATTTAAAACTTAAATAAATTTGTAATGTAATATAATTGAGTTTGTTGTACATAAAATGTGATTGTGATTCCTCAAGGCTGATTTAAATTCAGGGCAACTATTAAATAAACCAAATGCCTTTGAATCATTTCAAAGAGGTTTAAAAATGATTTGATACTCCTACCTTGTATCCCCTCCTACATTTGGGACTATTCAAAGCATATTTTTGGTTTGCAAAATAAAAATAAAACAAAGAAAAACCAAGAATCTCAAACATCACCTATGTGTCCTGCTTTGAAAAAGAAATCAGCCATCCCAACAAGACTTCTACCCCAAAAATGGAAGTAGTCAGAGAATGATAAAATTCTCAGTTTTTAAACTTTAATCTTTTTGATTTTTTTAGTTAAGATTAACATTCATCTAACATTAATATGCATTCAGCATTAATTAATTATAGTTTCTAGAATGTCTTTTCTAGACAATGTGAATTTTTCTATTCTATACTTTCCTCATCTCTTCTTGGTTTGCTTTAAAAGTGACTTTGGGCAATAGTTCAAAGAGTTCAAATATTTAGTAGATTAAACATTTATTGCTATGATTCTTTACAGGTAAATGCCCTCTAAAGGGTTTGTTATGTCTGCATTTTGTCCCCTTCTTTCAAAAGTTGGGAATGGGGAAAATGAAGCTACAATTGTTTTTATATTTCCCTTTTACAATTTACAGCATCTGTATCAATGATTTGGAAAGTATATTGTTTCAGGTTGATGATTACTGTTCATCATTCACCTAAAGGAAAATTTGTGCTTTGCTATATGCAAAAAATTTTGCTCTCACAAACTATACTGGGCTTAAAAGTCAATTAGAAATAAACTAAAATTCACATTTTTGAGAAAAGTGTTTTAAAAAAATATAGTTGAAAAATTCAGGATCAAGAATTTTAGTTATCTGGCATTTTGCTTATGCATGTTCTGTTCTGGCAATAGCATTACAAGGTGATAGTTCCAAAATAAAAACTATGCAATCTTACTTTAATATTTTTATTCAAAGGAAGGATGTTTAGACCCACAGTAACCCATTTTAATGCAAAAAAATATGCATCTGGCATGTTATTTATAGCTCCAGTTTGGACTACAATAACAATTGCAAGTACAAGTGAAAATTTTAAAATCTTTTAAGTATTCCAAGTTGAGTTCTAAGCACTATTGTTCTCATGGAAACCAGTTTGGCTAAGTATATTAAAACAGAGTTAAATAATATTAAAACTAAGTTTCAAATGTATGTTTTCAAAACCAAAGAGGATTTCATATGAACTAGAGTGGGAGCAAAGGAGGGAGGGAGGGAGGGAGGGAGGGAGGAAGGAAGGAAAGAAGGAAGGAAGAAGGAAGGAAGGAAGGAAGGGAAACACTGGTAAATTCCATGATGCTTTCAAGGAAATGTCATGGCTATGACTGAGAAGTTAAAGAATTCAAGCTCATCTTGAAATCAAATGGATAGGTTCAGAATTCAACATTTGAAGCATAGGTGATAATGTTACTCTCTTTAAACAACAATTAACTCTAAATCCATAAAAACAAATTTCCAAACTATGCAATTTAGAGAACACAAAAAAGTTACATAAATGTTTAAGAAATGTTTTTGTTTTGATTTGTTTGAATTCCACATAAATATATTTGGACATTAATGGCTGGAAAAGAATCTCGGTGCTGAAAGGCATAGGTGCTGGATCTTATATAGAATAGATTTCTTTATCTTTTGGCTTCATTCAAATATTCACAATTTGCATATAATTTACTTTGATTTTTTCCCCTTTTAAGCTGCTTTACAACCACCATAACAAGAAGTAACTTATTTGGGATAAGGCATGAAAATACAAAACCAAACTATGCTTTCAGAGTTCATCATCCTTGGCTTTCAAAATCTGCAGGAACTACAGTACTTCCTCTTCAGTGTATTCCTGACTATCTATTTATTCACAATGCTGTGGAATATCTCCATTATCACTATCGCAATTTTGGATCAGAAGCTCAGAACCCCCATGTATTTTTTTCTGGGGAACCTGTCTTTTCTTGACATCTGCTACACTAGCACCACAATTCCACAGATACTGCATCTTATTCTCAAAGACAAAAGCAGCATTTCTTATACAGCCTGTGTTCTCCAATTGTACTTTTTCTTCTCCTTTGTAGGGACTGAATGCCTTCTTCTGGCAGTAATGGCTTTGGATCGCTATGTTGCTATTTGCAATCCTTTGCACTACTCATTGTTTATGAGAAGATTGGTCTGCTTCCAATTAGCTATAGCTTGCTGGGTTGGAGGTTTTCTTAACTCTGCAATACATACTTATTTTGCCTTTAAGTTACCATTTTGTGGAGACAATCGCCTAGATGCATTCTATTGTGATATTCCTCCACTGCTAAAGTTGTCATGTGGAGACATCTCCCTCAACCAAAAGCTCTTGCTATCTATTGGATTACTCATTGCATGGACACCTCTTTTTTGCATCCTTCTCTCATATGCATACATCATCTCCACAATCCTGAAGATGCATTCTGCAGAAGGAAGACAAAAAGCTTTTTCCACCTGCTCCTCTCATCTTACAGTGGTTCTACTTTATTATGGCAGTTGCATTTTCACCTACTTGAGACCTGTTCCTTCCCAGTCTTCTGCTAATACCAAGTTGATCCCACTAATGTACAGCATCTTGACTCCATTACTAAACCCTGTTATATATACTTTGCGTAACAAAGATGTAAAAAATGCTTGGAGAAGTATAATGGGAAAGATTTAAATATTGTAACATTCAGATAGAAGCATATAGGGGGAAAAGGTTCCCCCCCTTTCTCCCCCCCCAGGCAATGTGATCTTAAGATAGGAAGGGCTTTATACGTATTTTAAAGGTGATAATATGAGCTCATCATATTATAATGATATGATTCAAATTGCATGGAATTTCTCATGTATTTTTACTTATGTATATTTAATGAAATTAATAAATAGTCCAGAGTACTTTGATACTAGGTAAAAAAGAAATAGATAAATTAAGGATGCTTTAAATAGACTGGTCTTTGTTGTTGTTGTTGTTTTGAAATTAAGCCCGGTAGATTTTAATATGTTTTAATCTGCTGAGGCAGAGTTTACACCTATTTCTTCTATTAAAAACAAGGTGGAAGAGAAAATAGAGTACAAGGAGATAAAGTATATCCACTCCCATGAGTGAACCTTGTCTCGTGATAATGGCCTGTACATACAACATTTAACATGCCATTTTCTTTTTTCTAACATTTGGTAAGCTTCCATTCTATTGTCTTTCTACCCAAGTGCTAACAGCCCCTGATTAGTTTTTCAGACTCAAGCAAAGTCAGATAGATTTACTACCTAACACTTTACTGTATTAGGTATCTAACTTTCAAGGTAAGGTTGGTGTATACCTAATAAAAGGTAACCATTAATCTCAGATAGTTATCACTCCTCTGAAAGAAAAGTAAATCAATGATTTGACTGCTATTATGTGTCAGTTATTAATGCTGGCAAAATGTATTAAAAAGAAAATTCTATAAATTGGGTCCCCTAGTGAGTGAATACCTAACTTTTTAAAAAAGGCAATAATGATGGAAATGAGGAAGGAAAAAGAAAAAGAGGACAACCAGCAGTAAAGTGAATTATAGCACTGAGAGACGGATATTTAGAAAATGTAGAGAACAAAAATGTTTTCCTTGGATCTTCTCTTGTTTAATGTATTCAGCCATAAAGAGATCAGTGTCTGTTGGGAATCTTACATTTTGTGTTTGTCATCAAACTGTACAATTGTATGATTTACCTGGAACTGGACATCATTGGGAGAACTTAACATAAAAATGCCATGTTTCATCCATGTACACTTTTTTAATGAAATAATGCAATTAATACTAATTCCCAAAATATGTGAAGAACATATAAAGACCCATAATATGTTTTTTAAAAGCTGCTTAGAGAAATATATATATGCTTTTGGCTGAGGAAGAAAAAAGAATTGTGCAAATTCTACAATTTTTACTCACAAAAAGGAAAGAAAATCTGTAACATTTAAGCATGAATCATTTATTATATTGTAATTCTATCATACAGTTTAGACAGAATTGTAAAAATAGATAGTGTTGACTGAATTAATTATTCTATGCTTTTCAGGTGTGGAATAAATCCATATCCTGAATTAGTTTTTGAAAAGTGCTTAATCATATATCTTTTCATAGCTATGGAATATTTTTACCATTATTAAAGTCTTGCTTGATCAAAAGTTCAAAAACTTTACTTCTTCTTTAGCATCCTATCTATTCTTGATATTTGATAACTATCTAATTACAAATTGGAGATTCATGTATCCATTTAATCACTTGAATAGGAATTCAAGATTAATAGATGGTTAATGGTTTAAAGTTTGGTGTAGCAGTTAAGACATCAGACTTGAAATGTGGAGTTCTGATTTGTAGTTTAGGCTTGGACACAAAACCAACTGCATCACCTTGGGATAGTCAATTTCTTTCAGACTTAAAAAGGAGGAAATAGCAGTTCACTTCAGAAATACCAGGAAACTACATGGGCTTATCCAGGTAATCTCCAAAAATCAGACATGATTTTTATTTAAGAAAATGGTGATAAGTCAGCTGGATGGAACTCTAAGAGATCTGATCCCTGCCCCTGTTTTAAGGGGTCGGTACTTTCTCTGCTCCCATTTAATATCTACATAAAACCATTGGAGATGCCATCTGTCAATATGGAATGAGATATCATCAATATGCTCATGATATTAGGCTATAAATCTCTGCCCATGGTGAGCTAAATGATACTGTGGCCATCTTCTCTTGTTGTCTGAAGGCTATTGGGGTCTGGATGGTGAAGAATGAGCTAAAACTAAACCTTGGTAAGACCTTGGAAAACCTTGGAAAAATTTCATCATTGGTCATGGATAGGGTTGCATTGCCCCAGTGTTACCCATTGCATAGTATGGGAATTCTCCTAGGCTTTAGGAATAAGTAGCAGTTGTACAACTTCATATTCTATGCTAGCTTGCTGCTCTGTGACTATAATAAAGATTGATTGATTGATTAGTTGGTTGGTTGGTTGTATGCCAGTTACATGCATTCCTGACCAACTCATACCCTCATTACAGTACCTCCTACTTAGACTGTTGTAATCAGTTGAAGTTTCAGAATATAGTGGAGTGAACAGTTTTGCAAAAAAAAAACACCTTTTGAAGGTCCTAAAATGTGATTTTGTCAGTGAACTAGATGACTATGAATGGAGATTGAACCAATTAAGTGGCTAACTTGATTGTGTTATTACTGCTGTAGCGAATGTTAAAGTTTTTTTGTGGGGGGGGGTTTGTTATATGGTAGATTTTTAAAAAAATATTGTAAGCTGCCTAGAGTCACATATGTGTATTTGATTACTATATAAACCTGTTTAATAAATATTAGATACAAGCTAACATTTGGAGTATAAATAAATGGTGGAAATATTTCATAAGAAATTTCTTCATAGTAGTCTTCTTTTTCTAGAGAAATGAAAAATGCTAGAAATGTTTTTGGGAAAAGAAATAAATAAATAAGGTAAAACAGAATTTAGTATATTACTAAGGTAAATATTTCATAAATACTGTGCTTACAGATCTCTCCCACAGAGAAAATTTGTAGGGGGGGGCAAGATTTTTTTAAAAAATGCTTTCTTCCCATTACTGCACATTTTCCTAGACCCACATATGATCTTTGCAATTAGAGCTGAAAGTCTGCTGAAAACATAAACTGTATTCAATAACTGCAGTCCTTATAAAAGCTTTAAAATAATACAATGAAACCGATAGGACTATGGTACAGTGTTTTCCAGAAAATAAGACAGGGTCTTATTTTCTTTTGACCCAAATTAAGCACTTGGCCTTATTGTTGGGGAGATCTTATTATTTTTGAGGTGCAGGAGGTGGTGAGCGTGGTCACCTCATGGGGGCTGCTGTGTTGCAATATTTTGGGGGAGGGCTTATTTTGGGGGAGGGGCTTATTTTAGCACATGTGCTCAAAAGCCCAATTGGGCTTATTGGGCAGGTTTTATTTTTAGGGAAACAGGGTATATTCCTGTGTGAGAATCAGTTTAATGTAACATTAAGGCATCAAGATAGAAATGAGGTAACTATGAGTTCTAGTTCCACCTTAAGTACAAAGTCAGCTGGGTAATTTCTGACCAGTCATTCTCTTTCAACCCTTAAGAGGAGTCAAGGACAAACAACTTCTGAAATTTTGGCAAGAAAATAGTAAGGACTTTTCAGTCACCAAGAATCAACCCTGACTCGAAGGCACAATGTACTGTACATGTTTTGCATGACAATGAACATTATACTAGCCTAAGTACCAACTAAAAAAAAAACCCTCTCTACACACAGTAGCTATATTTCAGCACAGTTACTTTTTTCAGACAAACTTTATATTCCTCTTATGCTGGTAGTTAAAATTCAGATATTTATTATAAAACTCAGGTAAAGCCAACTTCCTCTGTTGCATCTTACTGGACTTATGGTGGCACATAAAAAAAAATGAAATGAAATAATCTTTTTAAAATATACTTTATTTTTCACCAATCAATGAGTATATGTTGTTCTTTGAAAAATAAGGGGATATTATCTTGGGTAGAAAATCCCTAGAGATCTTTATGTTATGCATATCTGTATAAATAATAAATATTATTTTGTAAAGCATACATGGAAAGGCACAGACAGTATGACATTTTATACGCTGAAATAGACATAGCTTACTTTGATAATACTAATGAATTATTACATTTGATATCAAAAGTTTTGATATTAATGATCCTTTTGATATCAAAAGTTTTGATATTAATGATCCTATTATTAAATTGGGTGAAAAGTATGTACTGTTGAAAATGTAAAAAGGGTTATTGTATGTGCAGCACAACATTAAACCTCATGTTTTTAGTAGAAATATTCGGGCGGGGGGAAGGAAACTTAAACTATCCTATGTCTTAGATCATTATTATTGATGCTTCTTCAGCTCTGAAACATTATGTTGAATGAACTTGTTAAAGAATTTTGTCTTCAGCCAAGAACACAGGATGATGAATGGCAAATGAAATTCACAGCTATACCCACAGTAACATTGTGTCTGTGTCTTTGGTAAGATAATAAAGAATTTGTATTTTCAAGGATTTCTGCTGAATTTATATCCCTCTAAATTCTAGAATATTTATGTAATAAGAAACTCCAAATTTACCGCACTTTATTGTAAATGTATTAGAGACTGATCATTAACTAAAGAATAAAAACACAGCTGATTATTGAGTTAATTATATGAAGAAGGAGAGGAAAAGAGGTTTTTCTTTATCTGATTTCCATGCTTTAGTCCATACTTTGCTTTTTTTTTTTTTTTCAGAATTTCTCCCATTAGTTTTGTAACTAATTTATAAAAGCTTATATATCCGTTAAAAAGATGATGTGCCTAAATGGTTTGATGCCTTACATTTGCAATGTTTATGTTCATCTTCTTTGGAAAAAAAAAGATTATGCTGAAACCACAGCTATGTCCTATTTCTTGTTTTATGCTGCTTTTAATTCTACATATATACTATTTAAACTTACCAAAATTGATTTTCTTATTCCTTATAGAATAAATATTGTTTTCATTGAGATATGGAAATACAAAATCAAACTGATCTGACTGAATTCATCATACTTGGTTTTAGAAATCTGCAGGAGCTCCATCTATTGCTCTTTACTGGGTTTTTCATCATTTATCTCTTCACTGTGGTATG